TCCTCAATCGGTGGTGGTCGGCTAAAATGTATACCCGCTTCAGATGTCAACGTGGAAAACTCGTGATTCACGGATAGGTTTGTACTCTGTTGCTGTGTCGGCTCCACGTTCGTTAGAGGACGTTTGACGTGGTTCGCTGTGTCGCCAGTTCCATCCTACACAGGGGAACACGAGCATTCCACATCAAACCAAGTCACGTTTTTGAACTGGCAAATGTTTCTAGTTCATACGCCACTGTGGGTGCCTTTGGTTCGCCGCGTAGTCAGAGCATACTACTTTCTGGGGTTTCGGGAAACCTTCTTCAAGTTCTTCATAGGAAAGCGTGGTTCTTCGGAGGCGATGTTCTATTGGAACTAGCAAGCCTCCTCTTGACCGAGGCCATTCCGTTGTTTGCTCGTTCTCTACCACGTAAAGGACCTGCACCGGCCAATAATAGCGCGCGCTGCTTTGCAAGGCTGTGGCACTGGCGTAGGTAGTAAGTAAACTTCGGCATATATGACAAGCACCTAATTCAGCGAGTAACAGTATGCGATTGGAGGCGAGGAGGTCAATTAGTTCTCACCAAGTCGCTCGACACAGTTTGCCCTTCTTCCCAGGAGGCCAATAGAAAGGCTCTTGCTCCACACTGACGCCTTTTCCCCTCCTGCCTCTGTGGCTCCCGTCCTAGACGCTCGTGGAGCAGCCAGGATGGTGAGCCGACTCTCTTGCTGGAGAGCTGACGTGCATGCGTGTAATCTGATCTTTCTCTTGACTCATTTTCGGAGCCTAGTTTTCCACTATTGAATATTTCCGACGCTACAGTTTCTAAGGGTATTCCGGATTTTCGGGGCTGAAATTCGGCGGCCTCAAGACTTCCGTTATTTCTTGATGGCACACCCAGAGGTAAGACAAGAGTAGACAGGACGCGGCGCTTCACAGTTGCCTCATCAGCATCTACAGTCTCTGAAGAAAAGTGACGACGGCCCTGTAGGGCGCGCTTCTCAATACCTGGAAAACCCGTCAGACTGCGTCCTGGGGGACCGCCGGAAGTAGAACGGGCTCCTAAACCTTTCCGATGGCTCTGCGGCGTATCCAAAGCTTCTGTGTGCAGTACAGGGTCTTTCAAACACTCAGCAGCTAGCGCATCCTTGAAGAAGAGGAAGGGAAAGCTAAAGGTTGTTGCCTGAGGCGCAGCAATGCAAGCGACACGTGGTCGAGGGAACCGGCGAAATCGACCAGCATTTTGAAGCCCCATGCAGGAAACGCAAAACGCAGCGCGCACGGATGCAGAATGCCCACTGAATGCTTACTCTTCCTGTTCCAAGTCGCGACGACTCTGACCCTTCCTGGATCGCAACAAGCACTGCTTCAACGCCATCAGAACTTCCTCGCCCGTTTACTAGGGGTCTGGGATCTTTTAACTCGTCATCTAAGCGCAACTGTTGCCTCAGAATCCAGACTTGAGTGTCCCACCAACCCTGGACTACTGTAAATTCCCGAAGACCTGCTGCCGGGTCTGCTTCTCGCCGTGCTTGTGAGCCATTCTTGCCTGCTAGGTCTTCTGTGCCCCTATCTACTTGATGACTTTCGATGGGCGCTTCTCCGAAATTCAGCGGAACTGAAGAACTCTTCACCTCCGCATCAGTCATTGTCGCCTGCGCTGTGCTTGTCACAATTATTTCTGGCTGATTACCTTTGCGGAAACGTGCTGCAAAACCTGTGGATGGCGTGGCACAGAGTCAGGCNTCCAGAAGGTGCTGTGAGTCTACCCTCATCACTAATAAGGTGCCCATATTGTACAGGTGAGCTATCAAATTTGTAAGCGATTTGCCTCTTGATTAAAGTAGCACAGCGAACGGTATCGACTAGATCCTCACACATCCTGTCCACGGCACCTCCAAAACCCACGCACTATCTAGACTGCAGACAGGCAAACTCAGCTAGTGACTGCATAAGACTGAAGGGCAGTAGGGCCTACCTGTAAACATCATGGCTGAAACCACGCTGGCTGGGACCACAGCTGATATACCGACAGTTGCCAGTGAGTCTTTTTCGGGAAAAGGCTTGAGAACCCGGCTACACAGGACGCCAAACCACTGCGAAGCTTCTGCGGCTTGCTGTGGCACCGGGCCTGCACTATCTCGTCCCGTTGTTCCGGGCCCCCCCCATGGAGAGTAGCAAACACTGCCTTTCCGATTTGCTAGCACGGATGCAACGAAGAAGGAGAACTTTGTACGGATGGTACTGGTGTAACGACGTGCCCAGCTGACCGCATTTCGATGTGTCTTACAATTGGCCTGCACAACCGCACCCAGACCACAGCTTCCACCCAGCAGGGGCAGTAAGAGTAGCTTTTGAACAGCCGGCCGTATCCAGTCTGGCTGCAAGGCACTGTCGCGCGCTAGGCTTGATTAGGTTTCCCTTGGCGATGCACGGTTTGTCTGTGTACAATGCATCTAGTGCAAGCAACAGCCAACTTCAGAAGAGAAAAGATACCATTGATTGTGTCAGACAAAGCTTTCAATTTCATAGGCTACAGAATGTATGGCAGTTGGCATGAGAGTGTCTCTCCGCGAGAGTAAAAAGGCAGGGGAGTAAATTGTAGCGTCTCATAGGGTCAGGGCTCACAGCCATGTTCGGATCAGGAAAATATATGCTCAATCCGCCATATCTGCCGGGCTCCCTGCTACCAACCTCCGCAACAATCATTTTTCTGAAGAGCACTCGCGCCGCCACAACCTTGTCCGTTAAGGCTCGTTGCGAGGCACCAAAAGCATTCACCGTCTGCATTTGCTGCGTCAATTCTTCCAGTAGTCGCTGGTGCGTATTTGGTGGGTTGGCCAGCTTCCTGAAGTCGCTAAGAGCCCATCGCGTTTCGTTTCCTTGTCCACGGGTTTGAAGGCTGATCCTCCCCATATCTTGTTCATCATTAGCAAACTGCTGCAAGAGGCTCGCGAGGAAGTCGTTCAAGTCATAGCAGCTGCACAAGCCCAGCATTCGGCATCCTCGAATGCTGAAGGTCTGAGAAAGGGCTCGCCTTACCCGACGAGTGATGTTGCTTCCCCCACAGGAATATAGACCCTGATCCATATAGTAGACAGCAAAAACAGGGGCAAGCAGACTAACCAGAACGAGTCGCATATAAGAAAGCATGCACACACATACATACCCATACTTGGTTGCGGAGTGGGCATCATTTACGGAGGACACCCACTCCGCAACCAAGCTCACGTAAGCTTGTGTCCTTGCTACACCGTAGTTGTGTCTAGCTCTTAATGTGAAGAATAGAAGAGGCTAGAATTCAGCTCTGGTGGTCCCCATTTCCTTTCCGGCACAAGTAAAGGCTTGAGAGGCTTTCCACTTAGTAGAGGGATTTTACTATAATCCATTACACAATTGAAACCCTTCAACACACACCTCTAGCAACTCTTCGAACTTTTTTTTGAATTCATTGAATGCTCGCACTTCGATGAGAGCAAGCGTCAGCGCATTGGACGAAGGCGGGTGAAGGCCATAGCTCGAAACGAACCTTGTGCCGTATTCGAATGCTGTGGCCGTCCGGTAAGGAGGAGGTGGTTTGCGGGTGAGAGAGGTAGGATCCATAGACCTGATCGACGAGTTCAGAAGCACAGTGATAAGTGTAGGCAAAAACGACCCCAGGCTATTCGTCACAGCGTTGTCTAAAATAACACCGATCACAGTACTGCGTCGTCACTACTCAGCTTGTCTGAAGGAGCACCACAGTACAGTTAGATGCGCGCCGCCTTACCTATAGTTCCACCCATGGCCTGGTTCATTTTCTTCGCTGGCTAGAAAGAAATGGGTCAGCGGGGCGAGAGCTTCCAGAACATCGTACGAACCCATGAGACAGGCGTCGAAGCCAAGGAGTGAAAGGCGAAAAGAGCGATCCACCTTCCCTAGTTTACTTCTTGAGATGCCACTGCAAAACATGTTCCAGAAAACGGACAGAAAAAGACAGCTAATATGGCGTCCACAGGCAAAGTCCCCTTACGAAACAGGAACTTACTTCTTTAGTCCAACTGCTATGTCATGAATGCTCATAGGCTGGTTGTTCGGGTTGCTCTCGTCATCACCGAACCCAGCCCAGGCCGATCCGTGGTTCCAAAGAACTACGGCATAGTGCCTCGATGGAAATATATCCAGGAAACGTGTCACAGCTGTCCCCAAAACTTCGGGATCATTCATGTCTACCTATGGAACAAAAAGCAAATCGAATGCGAGGTGCGTTTGGCTTCGTCTCTAGACCCATACTGCAGCGTGTGATGTCGTGTGAAGCATGGGACTGACTGCAACTGCAGGTTGATTCTCAGCTCGGTTCCACAGTTTGTTGTCGCACAGAACACACATGAGCTGAAGGTCCTTCCTGAGCAACATACGGCTACGCGAAGTTCTCTGTCGCGTTTCTGACGACCCTACCACAATGCAAGGCATGAAGCGATAATTTTGTCAAGTGGGTTTTGGCTCATATCAGCTGCTTACCCACCTCTCCGAGACTGCGGAGGAGGAGCCATTCGCGCCTGCCGTCTTGTAGGTGGACCCGCAGCAATTCGAACGCCATTTGATTATTCAACTCCACTTCGCTTGTACCGGGTAGCTGCTTGACGCCTTCCCCTATATTCGAATACTCCAACTCAGGACACGCATGCACTGTTCCCATGTCTGTTGAACTCGTCTGGTTGCTCCGATCTATTAGGACGACGAGGTAGAGGTCTTCAAGGGCCTCTTGGGAAGTCAACCCACTGAGCGCGGAACCGCCAACTGGTAAGGGCGGTGTGCCTCTTCCTCGCAAAGAAGCCCGCGCTTGCCGTTTCACTATTTCACCTCTCCATGGGTGCAACATCTCTTCCAAGTCCAGTAAGGCAGACTCTTCCAAGTTATTGTCAGCGTGAATAAACATGAGCTGAGACCAGGCACGAACTGGCATGTCGCCAACTTTGCGGGGCAGGGATTCACAGAGAGAACGTCGTGGAAGGAAGGATGGGCCCGTTCTAGTCGCTCCGCTCTCGAANGAAGCCGAAACTTTTTGATCCCCTGTGAAGCGCGCAGCCGGCACGGAAGCGGCAACACTGACTATGGATTGGAGAAGAGCAGAAAAGCTATTTGCCTCATCTGTTTTCGAGATGTTCTCCTTGTGTTCTTGCAGAACTGGCGTCCCTTCGATAGCTCCTTGTTGTTCCAAGCCCTTAGCAGACGGTACTTCATCAGAAAGAGTCAGGTCTATGCAACGGCCCGTTCCATCTCGGTAAAGTGGATGGAAGGCTTTGCGTGGACCTTTGCAGGCAAGGCAATTGTCAGCCTTTCCACGGCAGCAGTCGGCACGACAAACAGAACATGTTGAGTGGCAGTGGCTTGCTTTTGTGGAGTTCCAAGTGTCAGCAAATTCTCTCCATGAAGCTTTCAAATTCTCGACTGTGCACGAAAAGCCCGTTGAGAGGCACTCCGAATCTGTGGCTTCACGTTTATTGCTCCCAAATTCCAATGGAATGCAATAACCACTACCGTCTTGATGCGCGGCTACGAGAGCATAATACTGCACGGCCTGAAATTGAGAGTCAAGAATGTCAAGGTGAAGGCCCTCAGTGGGTTCAGTGAGCAACTGAGGCTTTGGTGGTAGGTAGGGGTAAGGCAATTGATTGGGGCATGTGCGGCAGCGGTCGCGGCCGGGCTGTGAGCAACTCTGGCAACTCTTGTGGCACCGAGCATTCCATTGATGCACAACTGCACCTCCTAGTCTGGTCACATTGCCTGCGACCACCCCCTCTGTATCCAAACGGCGAGCCCCCTTTGCGTGAGATAGCCTGAAGTGAAATGTTGACCGTGGGAGTTTGGTGGGCACAAAAAGTTGAGGCATCAAAGTTGATTGGTGCTCTAGGTGTCCCTTAAGTGTCAAGGCTGGTTTTGACATAGTCTCAGCTTGCTTAGCTTCTGAACTTTCTTCAGATCCATATGCGGCTGGAAAAGATTTCCTGGCGACTCCTGTGTGCCGGTACGCTTGCTGTCCACACGGCGCCACCATCGCATCTCCAAGGGTCCAACAGTGGCAGGATGGCATTGCGGCCTTGGGAAGCGTCCTTTCAAAAAAGTCAGCAGATTCTTGGATTTCATCCCAATAAGCAGAATTCATGGAGCTCGCCTCATGGAGCATTTCCGCAGGTTCCACAGTAGCACAATACGACCGAGGGACTATACAGAGGTCAGTCGACTCCGCTATGGGTCCTATGGAGCATGCAGATCCTTGCATAGCTGCGTAACGCAATCCCGTGCACTCGCATAGAGGTAAGCTGTAGCGTTCATCTCTTGGAAGGGGAGGATGTGCCAGGGCTTTGCCTGGTCCGGGCAAATGCCCCCCACTAATCGTTGTCGCTGCTGTGAATGCATGCAGAGCTGAGGAGACAGTTAAACAGGCATACACATTGCGCATTAGATGCAGGTGACTCACCCGACTGAAAACGCTTCTTGGCAATTATTTGTGCCACCTTCTAAGCATATATCCTTGGTCGGATTGACCCTACAGAGCAACGGCGTCTAGAAAATAGCCGGTCTAGCGTGATCGAACATAGATTGCATGACTCACCGTCTGTGGTGATGTTCGGCAATGCAGAACAGAAAAGTCTCGAAAGGAAGTACAGAAGCCCAGAGGCGACAACGGCGAGACCAGGACGAAAACACGTCCCTCCCGGCATCCTCCTACGAATTCCCCTCCACTCGATTGGTGCAAATCTACTACAGTTGGCGCAGCTGCATGGAAGGCAGGCGTATTAGGGAGAGCATGTACGCATCCACTGACATTTCAGATGCTCTGCGAACGCTTTTCAAGTGACCGGTCTGGCCCGGAGACTGCGCAATGCAGAGGAAGCCGACGCCCGTACACTCGAATACGTCTCTAGAGCAAATCAAATGCCACTTTCCTAATATATTAGCTGTTATTCAGGGGGAATGTGGCAACTTCCATCCCGGTCAACTGAAGGCAAAGGGAGGCTCGAATAGCCACAGCTGCATGAGTGAGGGAGACCAGCTTATCCCGAACACAATAATCCCACAGAGAACAGTGGAATATGTGCTGTGGGGTTCAATGGGGGGAGTGTGGGGCGTTTTTGCTCCCGAAGACTGCACTGGAAAGGGACGGGATTTCAGGTGACCCTCATCGCGACCAGCCCACATTGGTGTTATCCTTCGCCTTCCTTCGTTTCCCGAACATATATGATAAAATAAAAATTTGCAGACATTCAGGAGCAATGCTGCTTTTTCTCTCGCCGGCTGAGACGCCGCGCAAGCAACTGGGCAATAGTGTTTTGTCTATCTGCCGTGGCATGGCCGATTGAGAGGCATTGTCGTCAGTGGCCCCTCACTCAGCCCTCACAATGAGAGATTGTGGGTCATTTATATTCTACTCAGTTGGTGATCGGGTGGCAGGTTGCTCGTGAAAAGGCCGGCAAACACTCCGCAAAGAGACATGCCCTCGCCGCAGCCCCAATTGGCTCAAAATGCACACGCTCTTACACCGGACAATTATGCGCAAAAGATGAATGCCACAAAATTGAAAATAGCTGCGCCTTCTGATGCTAAGT